GTGCCCACCCTGGTGTCCCCAAACTCACCCCTCTGCCCCCTCTGTGCCCAGCCTGGTGCCTCCAGCAGCAGCTCTGGAACCTTCTCCATTTGCTCTTTGCCTGATTTGCCTCTACAGAAAACTTCTCCCTGCCAGCACAAAGTCTCCTGTGCCTGAGAACATCATCCCTGGAACACAACAGCATACCTTGGAGCATTCCTCTGAGTGGTTCTTCCTGACTAGCTGGCCTGGCAGCTCTTCCCTGTGCCAAAAAACTCCTGCCCCAGCCTCCAGAGGGAAAGGCAGGCACAGCAGCTTCCAAGAATCTCTTTCTTCTCAGGTCAGACTCAGGAAGTTGGATGATTTTAATTCATACAGAAATATTTCACTGGGTCTGTTCTAATGTGGCCCAGTGAGAACCCTGAGCTAATCCTGCCCCACTGCACTGCCTGCTGCCATGGAAATCATTCTTTTATTTACAAGAAACCCAAATCAGCTGCAGGCTTCTTCTTGTTGTTGTTGTGGGTTCGAGTTTTTAGGGGAGGGCTCAGGGTGCATTCGGGGTTAAGGACTGATCTTGCTCATGAATATCCAGAAATGTGATTTTTTTGTATCTCCAGGTGTTGTCAGCTTCACCATGGAACGGTTTGGGTTGGAAGGGACTTGAAACTCATCTCATTCCAGCCCCTGCCATGTTCAGGGACACCCTGCACTTCACTGGGACTGCAAAGTAAGTTCCTGAAACTAATTCAGGACTAAATCTCCAATTTAGTTACCCTTTCAGCCCTTTGGGAACACTCAGCCTTTAATCACAACTGTGAGCTCTTTAAGCCCTGATCAACTTCAAGATCCACCAAGATCCAGAAGCTGATCATGTTTGCAAACACAGCAAGGGCTTCAGGATCTCCAGTGACAAAACTGCTGTTTTTATTAAAATTGCCACGTTCTACCTTACCAGTTTTAGCTGCAGATCCCTGTGTCCCACCAGAGATCTGTCACCCTGCTGTTCTCTGACAAATCCATGAGGGATTTTCAGAGTCCACGAGGATAAACAACAGCTCTAGAGCCAGTGACCAGGAAAAGCAAGAATATTCTAGAGAACGTGGCCAGGAAAAGGAAGAAAAATAGTTTTGATTGGTTTTACATCTATGAAAATAAGTATTTTGAATCCATGAAATGTATTGACTTGAAGACTTCTTAAAGAAAAACAAAAATATCTTTAGATATAACAAAAAAATGTCTTGAAATGAGAGGTATTTTTCAAGTGGGGAATAATTGCCTGCACAAAAAGAAAAGAAATAATGAAGAAACCATAAATGCATGGCAGCCCAGGCTGCCTTTGCAACAGCATTAACTTTGATGAATTCCTGAACTGCTCACAGGTCTCAGACTATGCAATTATCCAGGAATTCCTTTATAATTGAGCTCCAGTGAAGTGCACACTTATTAGGAATCTGTGCTGACAGTGTTTTAATATTCACACCATTACTTTATAAACAGGCAGGCAGTTGCACAGAGCTTTGATCTTGAAACGTGGCCACTCTTGCTGTGAAAAGGAAAGGAGCAGAGCTTTTCTTTCAACTGCAGCTGAGGTTTGGACAGCCTGGACAGTGCCCTAATAACTGAGGAGTGACTCCACACAGTGATGGCATTGATGGATAACCAGTGCTCAAATCCCAGAAGAAATGAAACGAAAATTAAATTAAAAATAAATAAATAAATTTAAAAAAAAAAGGAGAAAATGAAATCAGAAGAGCCCAAGAAGATGCCAGGAGCTGTGTGGGCTGTACCTGCTGGTGTTGTCATCATCCTCAGAGTCGATGAAGCTGCTGGACTCCAGCTCGCTGCTCATCATGGTGGAGGAGCTGTCGTAGCCAGGGGGGTGCTCACGGTGCCTGTCCAGCTTGGGGTGCCCGTTGATCCTGGGGACTGGAAAAGCACAACAAAGGCAAGGTCACAGCACTGGGAAGTTGTGGTGAGGCTGCCTGCAACAGGAGGCTGGACAGTGTTCAAGGAATAAAGCAGGGATTTATATTAAAATGTGTTTATTAAAAGGGTGTTTAAGTATTTAAAAGGTATTTTAGGTAAATAGTAGGGATTTATTAAAAGGCTTCCAAGGATTCACCTTGGGCAGCACAAGAGCCTGGCTGAGGCTACACCCAAGATTGAGGCCAAGTCAGGAGTTTTCACACTTTTCTAAGTTTTGGGCCATTTCCACATTGGGGTTAATTGTCCAATTCCAGCTCCAGGAGAAGAAGCAGGAATGGAGGAAGCCAAGGCATGGAATAAATCTGCTTTATACCTCCCAAGCAGCACCAGGGAGGCTGAAGCTCACAAGAAAGGTTTCCTGTGTTATTAAGGTGTGCATTTAAATCCATAAAGGTTTTTTTTTTGCAATTTCCCTGCCCAAGTAAAATTCACTTTTCCAAGCTTTTCTAACGTGAGCCAGCATTGTCTGGGGACAATAAACCATTATTACAATTGAGTACTTTCACAAACCATGATTACAAGGGGTTTACTCATAAAATATTCCCATGCAACTTCCTAAAGAAACAAGAATTTTTGTTGCTTGAAGAGAGAAAAGGGGAGCTCTGACATTCAGATTTTTTTTCCCAGATCAGTTTTCCTTAGGAGTTTATTGACGTTTATATCTGCAGTGTCCAAAAAAAAAAAGTTTCATTATGTTCCTCAAGCCACCACGTTCTGTTTGTGGGGATTATTTTGCAAGCAGGGAATACACAAGTTAAAGTCTAGAGAAGAATCAAAGATTGCCTGCTCTGGTTCAGCTCCTGCCCCATTAATGAGCAGGGACTTTGTGCCCTGGTCCCCCCTGCCCTGTCCCTTCATGAGAGGGTGGCAGAGTGCAGCAGGACAGGGGGACAGCAGCCTCCAAGAGCTGAGAATAAAGCATAGCCTGCGAGGGTGAAATGTGTCCTCCCTGACTTTTATCAAGAGCAGGACAGGCCCTGCCTGAGGGACAAAAACGCTTCAAAGAGCAAATCAAGCAAAGCCTGAGAGCAGAAAGGGAAGAGCAGCAACTGCTCAGGCAGCCACGGGGCCAGAAAAGGGTCAGGGGGACACCCAGGAGAGTCAGGATCAAAACAAGAACCCTCCCACCCCTTCCAAAAGTCCCTCCCATTTATTAACAGGAGATGTGCTATCAATTCTTCAATATAGGCTTGGAGATGTGCTATCAATTCCTCAGTGAAGAACTGGAGATGTGCTATCAATTCCTCAATAAAGAATTGGAGATGTGCTATCAATTCCTCAGTAAAGAACTGGAAATGTCTTATCAATTCCTCAATAAAGAATTGGAAATGTCTCATCAATTCTTCAATAAAATCTTGAAACCCTGCTGGGTGCAGGGCTCAGTCCCTGCTGCTTAAACAGGGAAGGACAATGGGAATGGGGAAGGACAATGGGGGAAGGACAATGGGAATGGGGAAGGACACTGGGAATGGGGAAGGACAATGGGGGAAGGACAATGGGAAAGGGGAAGGACAATGGGAATGGGGAAGGACACTGGGAATGGGGAAGGACAATGGGAATGGGGAAGGACACTGGGAATGGGGAAGGACAATGGGGGAAGGACAATGGGGGAAGGACAATGGGAATGGGGAAGGACACTGGGAATGGGGAAGGACACTGGGGGAAGGACACTGGGAATGGGGAAGGACACTGGGATTGTCCCCTGCTGCCGTATGGGCACATCCCTGTACCCTGACCTGCCCTGGGATTGGAGTTTTTTGGAAGCTCGAGCAGCCTCCAATCCCTCCAGGATGAACATTCCCATCCCAGCCGTTCTCCAGTTCCATTCCTGCAGGATCCTCTGCACTCAGATTGCTCCAAAACCCCCACACTGCAGCAGCGAGGGGAAACCTGCATCTGCAGCAGCTCCTCTTCCCAAATTTTTGGGATGTGGGAGCCTGGAGGGCTCCTCCAGGCACAGCCATTCCTCAGCTGGCTGCACAAAATTCAGGCTCACCCCACTGGGCTGCTGAAACCCCAGCGTTGACATCTTGTCAGAAACTGAGCAGCAGCCACAGAACGTTCCTCAACACCCAGAAAAAAAAAAAAAACACACCAAAAAACCAACTTGCTCCTTAATTACCACCCTAATTAGAGCTTCCACAGGCCCCTTTCCCACTCCTCCTCAGCAAACTGACGTGGGGGCTTTGTTCCTCCCAGCCAGGGGTCCCCAAACTTGTGCCAGGCAAACCTCCCACCACCCTAATTAAGATCCTCACTCTACTTTCACTTAACAGGAATTTGTCAACTTCCCAAAGAAAGGATTTTTGTGGCTTGAAGAGAGAAAAAGGGGAGCTCTGACATCCTGATTTTTTTTTTTCCAGATCACTTTTCCTCGAGATTTTCTTGGTGCTTGTATCTGCAGTGTCCAAAAAAAAAAAGAGTTTTATTATGTTCCTCAAGCCACCACGTTCTCTTTGTGGGGATTATTTTGAAATCAGAGAACACAGGAGCACAGATGGAGATTCATCGTGCATTTAAAACAGGAATTAAATTTAAGGGAAATGGGTGGAAGAGTTTAGGGATACCCAAAATCCTTTTGCATTTTCAATGGGAAGGGGTGTAAAAACGCTGTCACATCACCCAGGTGTGTCCCACACCTTCCAGCTGCACTTGGAATCAATTATTTATCACAGCCCGTGCGTGTGGAAGTGCCCAGCAGCAATTCAGCAGAAATTTCTGGGCTGAGTAATCCTGCAGCAATGAAGGCAAACATCCAAGCTGCTCGTGGTGAAGAATCCACCCAGGGCAGCACATTGTTAATTATCACCCACTGGGGAATTCACCATTCACCAACTCCAAACCAAACCTCTGCAAAGGATCTTCCTGCACTCCCAACCCAGGCTGAAAGTTTTCCAGTAAAATCAGGCGAGAATTTTTGGGAATTAAAATGGAGAGCAGCACAGAAAATCTTTGTTTAGTGTCCACTTTCCTTCCCTGGGGTTTTCCCCAACCTTAATTCTGTGGAACTTCTCAATCCTCTGGGCTCAGTGGACTCAGCCTGTCTGACCTGTTCAGGTTTCAGCTCAGTGCTCCTCTGTTCCCAAATGTTCCCTCACACCTTTTCTCACTTCACCTGTTTGAAATGAAGGCTGGAACACCCTGCTCCTCTTTTCTCGTGGAACAAGAACTCCTTTCCCTCGAGGGAAATCCTCTTTGCCAGGGTGAGTGATTCTTTTTTGTACCAAACACTCACAAACACAGGGGATTGTGCTGCTGGCTGAGCTGCTCCTGTGCCTCTGGAATAAAACCAGTGGCACAAAGCTGTGAGTAACTCCGAGCTGCAGGAGATGCCTGTCCCTGCCCCTGTGCAGGGCTGTAATTTGGGCATTATCCCAACGAGTCTCTGCAGGACTCTCACTGCATTTCCTGCTTTCTGCAGGCAGAGGATTTTCCCTTTCACACCCAGGGGACGGGAGCTGCTGGCCCTGGAGCAGGGATCCAGCTCTCACAGCCCTTTCCCCACCCTTGTCCCCCCTTTTCCCAGGGCTGCTCCCCCTTTTCCCACCCAGCTCTGCTCCAGACAAGACGTGAAGGTGCAAGAAAAGAGTGACTCTGTGATCCTTGTTATGAAAACACCTTCAAATCCTTCCCAGGATTGGGGGAATTTCACTTATTTTAGTATTGCCAAGTGGCAGCTCAGGACACAGAGCTGAACTGTGAATTTTACACTTGCCTTCTGCTGAAAACAACACACTCGTGGTGTTAATATGGGCACTGGGTGTTGTTATGGCTAAATAAATATTGTTATAAGCACAGAAACTCCATGGACATTAAATCATGTCTTTTAAGGCAGTTCTCCTCACTTTATGCACATTTAACAGAACTCACCTGCTGCAGGCAGAGGTCTAAATTAAAAAAACAGGTAACGTTTGTGACATGTTCTTGCCTGGGATTCGACAGGAGGAGGAAATTTTATCCCATTTCTTTCTCAAGGGAATTGGTTTCAGAGCACTCCCAACAGAAACTCCTGTGCCCAAACAATTCCATCCACCAACACCAGCTCTTATGCCATAAATACCCAGAGCAAAACGTGCACTGGCACTGATTTAAGGCTTAAAACAACTCCCTTTCCACATTCTTCCCTCACCAGGTTTGGAATCGACACTAAAGAGAGGATTCTTGCAGTCAGGATCAAGCACAGACAGCTCTCTGCTCCTCCCACTGAGGGATTTCCGTTCCCTTCCCATCAGTGACACTTTGCAAGGGTTAAATGAACAGAATTCCACAGAATAAATCTGATTTCTGCTGTTCTAACCGGTGCCAAACGCTTGGGTGGGTGGAGCTGTGAGGAAAGGCTGTGATGGCATTTCTTGGGCCCAAGTATTCCAAATTCTGGACTATTTTAAACACAATGGGTGGCACCTATTAATTCTTAATTAAGCCTGGAAATTCTTGTCTGGCAATGAATGAAAAACCCCAAGCTTCCTTTGATGTACAGACCAGAGGCAAGAGATGGGAGTTCTGCATTTTATAGGTGCACTTTGAGTGCATTTAGGTTTAAAAAAAAAAAGATCTTCAGAGCCAGCAGAAAACACCAGAGCTGATGCAAGCCTTGAGAAACCAACAGCCAGAGCTCTCCAAGCCATTGGTGTTCTCATGCTGCACCAAGTTCTGCACGCTGTCAAAAACCAATTTCTGCCACTTCACTCACTGGGAGCTGTGCAGAGCTCTTGGAAAAAAAAAAAAACAAAAAAAACGCTGAGCTTCAAAGAGTTTCAGAGCAATTATCAAATTATTCCATTAAAATAATCAAGAGTCCCCGAGAGCAGCCTCGAGTCTCTCGTGCTGGTGATGCAGAGCTGCTGTTTCTGAGAGATGGGAGGAAAATTGGGAGAGGGGAAGGGTGGAGCAGAACTCACACGGTGGAGTCTGAAACAGAGGCCTGAGATGCTCAAAGA